TATTTGATTGTTTCGCTTGGGCTTCGTTCCCTTAGCATATTTTGACGCTGTGATTCTAATTTTGGATAGATTTGATGCGAGCGGAGGATGATTCGAGGGGCAAAGGCATCGCAGAGTAGTATTTTCACTGGTTTGAGGTAAGTAACCATTGTAAATCTGGAACTGAGGGTACAAAACCCCGGTATTTGACTTGTTTTGATAAATGTGGTAACGCACATGCTAGGTGATGGGCGTCTGGGCGTGCACATGTAGGGATTGTGACTTGGTCCGTCCCGTAGCGATTATTAAGTTGTGTATTTCATTTGGAATCTTATATTATTCCGTACTTTAGTCATTTATAATGTATTATGGGTTGTATTTGCATATTTGGGGCCTTGTGCCGACCTGTTGAGACCCTTAGGGGCATTTTTACTGTTTTTCCTCACTCTACTTGTTGAAAGCATATCCTCAATCATGCTTTACTGGTTTAAATGTTTAAAATTGGTTTTATCACCCCACTTCTAATTGTGAGAACTGTTTGGGCTGAGTTCCCTAATTTCTATTGTTGTGCCCGAGAGGCTGTGAGGTTAATGACTGAGAAAGGTTGAGAACCTAATGGTGAGGATATTATATGTATATATTATGGATCGGGTTGCATGCTGTAGCGATACTTATATGGATCGGACTGCACGCTGCAACGATATGTATATTGGATCGGGCTGCATGCCACATCAATATATAATTATTGGATCGGGCTGCGTGCCGCAGCGATATGACGCTCGGGTTGTAGGAGCCCCTCCGGAGTCTGTATACCCCCAGTGAGCGTAGTTAACTATAAATTATGGATCGGGATGCATGCCGCAACCGTTACTATGATTTCTATTACTATGAGGTATTAATGAGCCTAAGTGCTGAGAGTTAGTATTGAGTGACGAGAGTTGAGTCACGAGTGACTAAGAGGCTGCCCGAGAGGCCATATTCTGAGTGATATCTTGCCCGAGGGGCCCTGTTATGATATTTTACTGATTTCACTCTTCTTTTAAAATAAACCTCTGTTGACAAATTGCTAAGTATATGATTTCAAGTATTTAAACTGAAATTGAGGATTTTATGACGAAACTGGTTTTAAACTGAGGAGTTTGAGTTGTTATCCTGTTGTTTATTAATTTATATGATTTTTAAACTGCTCGTCACTGTTTCAAACCTTATTTACTTTAGTTACTTACTGTGTTGGCGTACTCACGTTACTCCTTGCATATTGTGTGCAGATCCAGGTGCCCGAGCGGTAGAGTGAGGGTCCTCAGCACTATCAGAGTTTGCCAAAGACTACAAGGTAGCTGCATGGCATCCACAGCCTTGCTTTCTTCCTCTTATACTTGTTTCCCGCATTTTAGACTTGTTATGTATTAGATATTCAGATTTGTATGTCTAGAGGCTTTATACTCTTGACACCAGATGTTTGGGCTATGTTGGTTTAATATTTATTAATTCCTCACCTTTTTAGCTGTCTTAAACATTTCTTTTGAAAAATTGGGATTTAAATATGTGTTATATAATGGTTTTATAAAAGAAATTATTGTGATTAATGATTTTGGGTTAGCTTGCATAGTAATGTGATAGGCGCCATCACGATCGGGCATTTGGGGTTGTGACACTGAAAACTCTCTCGGTGCACGTTAGTCTTAGCATATGCCATCCATGGGGAGGAGAGAGAAGACTGTCATACCTATACAAATTCCGATCCAAAAAACATCGAGTAAGACTGTTATCAAGATGCACAAGCAGGAATCCAACAAAAAAAGGGAATGTAGTAGAAATTGATAAAACAGTAACCGGGGGAATAAGGGTTCAACAAATTGAAGAGCCATCAAAAATTCCATTGAAGGAGAGAATTAGTGAATGGAACAGTGCTGTCAAAAGCCAAGGAAGTGGAAGTAGACTATCCTGGGCAGATGAAGTCGAAGCACAGGGGAAGGAAGCTGGCAAGCAGACACATGTAGAGTCAATTTGGGATAAATTTGACATTTCTAAAATATCAAATGCTGGATTTAAACTTGAATTTGTGAGTCTTGAAAAGGACGGGGATCGTATGATAGGGGAGATAGAATTGGAAGATATAAAATCTAAAATCACATATTGGAGAAATGCAGTTGTTTGCTATGTACTAGGAACTTATCCTCCATTTAATGTGTTGAATGGTTATTTGCAGAGGATATGGAGAAATCTTTGAATTAACAAAATATCAATGCTCAAAAATGGCACTGTGATGGTGAATTTTGATATTGATGTGGGGAAGAATGAAGTCACTCAAGATGGTATTTTTCATTTTGGATAACAAACCGCTTATCGTTAACGTTTGGACTCCAGATATGGAGTTCTCCAAAATAGAACTGTCTACTGTTCCACTATGGATTAGATTTCCAAGGCTGGAGTTTATGTATTTGGGTGCAAAGGGATTGAGTAAGATAGGAAGTTTAATAGGGAAGCCATTAATGGTGGACAAGAATACAGAAAAGAAAGTAGGATTACAATTTGCTAGAATGCTTGTTGAAGTGACGGTAGGGGATCAATTTCCTGAGGAAATCTACTTCAGGAATGAAAATGGAGAGGTCATTGAGCAAAGGGTGGCATATGACTGAAATCCAACTATGTGTGAGGTATGCCAAAAATATGGTCATATAGGGGATAGATGTAGGAGGAATAAGGAAAGCAAAAGGGGGGGGGGGTTACTAAGGGAGATGACAAACTTATGATTGTTCCAGTAGAGAGTACCACTCAGTTGGAGGGTACATCTAGGGGTGTCAATGAGTTTGTTCAAAGGCCAAATCCTGCTAAACAAGTGCAGGAGATGGGAAGGAACAAAAGGTATCACGGAAGGGAGTGGACTCAACCATTGAATACATAAAATGGGAATGAGGCTCAAGATATAATCAAGAATTTAATAACAACTAAAAATTCTTTCATGCCACTTGGGAGAGAGATAGGTGAAAAAAATGTGGGAAGTACAGGGAATGAGGGTGGACCATCTCTCTCCATGTGGGGGATGGTTAATATAATTAGATAGAACGTGAGAGGCCTGAATGACCTCACCAAGCAGAAGGAAGTTAAACTCCTCTGCAATGAACTTGATGTTGGATTAATTGGTCTTTTGGAGACTAAAATAAAGAATAGTAAGATGGATATAATATTTTCTAGAATGTTTAAAGGGTGAAAATACTATGCTAACCATTTGTCTCGCTACAATGGGAGAATCTGGTTGGTGTGGAAGGAGGAAACATATAATCTTACTGTAATTAGTGAGAATGCTCAGGCTATAACCTGCAGGGTTAAACATATACTGTTAAAACTGGATTTTATGGCTACATTTGTGTATGTGTACAATCAGAAGGAAGAGAGAAAGGAACTATGGGAATATTTGAATTAAATTTCAGTGGGTATGAATCAACCATGGATAGTGTTATGAGACTTCAATTCTATCTTGCATGAGGAGGACAGGAAGGGAGGTAATCCGGTTACTATAGCTGAAGTTCTGAATTTTCAAACATATTTAGATATAAATGGACTGGTGGAGCTGCCTAATAGAGGATGCTCTTATAAATGGAACGGCAAACATGAGAATGGTAGGTATTTCTAGAATTGATTGGGTATTTGTTAATGGGGATTGGATGGATAATATGGTGGACTGTCGAGCAAGGTTCTTACCTGAAGGGCTGAGTGATCACAACCCTGTACAGGTCACAACCATGCAGCATACTTGCAGAAGAAAGAAAGATTTTAAATATTGTAATATTTGGAGTACTCATTCCCAATTTATAGAAAGAGTAGAAGAGGGATGGAAGCACAACATAGTGTTAGATTTTATTTTAATGATGCAAATAATATATCTGTGCAGGAGCTCAAGAAAGCATCCAAGATTGAAGGAATCAAGAGGAAGGAATCAATTAACCATCTGTAGATTCAGAATCAATCATAGATTGATTTAAATGGAGAAGAAGCAATCGAAGATTTTGCTAGATAATCAATCAAGCTGCTATTTTCAGAAAGAGCAATAATCAATGAGTAAAACTCGCGTTATCAAAGCCTGTAGAAGGAAAGCTATCAATAAGGAAGAGCAACGACAAGCTGCTAATTTCGGAAGGACCAACAATCAAGGAGTAAAACTCGCTCATCAAGATCTGTATAAGGAAAGCTATCAATAAGGAAGAGCAACGACAAGCTGCTAATTTCGGAAGGACCAACAATCAAGGAGTAAAACTCGCTCATCAAGATCTGTATAAGGAAAGCTATCAATGCCCTCGCATTAAGGAAAAACAATGGCAAATAACATTATTGTTGGAAAGAATCAATCTTTTCCAAGGATCAAATCTCTTGGGTTGTCAAATCTCTTAAGCAAACGGCCTCCTACAAATTATTTATACACATCCTTAAGGCTTAGAAAAAAAATATAGTTTGATCGAACCAAACACCCTCTCTTTGTTCTACTGCAAACAAACATTGTAGCTCTTTAATACCTATTGTGTAACAAGTTAGAGAAGAAAGAGAGAGCAACACTGGTGAGACATTTTATCAAAAGAGACGAGTGATATAGGAACTGAGCTATCACATCATTTCCATTGTACTCGAAGAAACGCATTCACTAAAGAGAACTCCCTTGCATTCCAAGGGGACTAGACTAGGATGCACATTGAATCTGAACCAGTATAAAAATTTCGGTATCTTTAATTCCTGCATTTACTTTCAGCATCTTATATTCTGTTATTACAACTGTTAGATTATTTCATCTAGTCGACTAATTGAAAAACCAGTCTACTAACAGAGATTAAGTTTAAAAATATACAATCACCCCTTCTTGTACTTTCAGTTGGTATTAGAGCAAGACTCAGATTTTTCTTTTGCTTAACAGCTTGTGACAAAAGATCATGGCAAATCAAGTTATCATAGGAGCTCTCTTCCAGGAAGGAACTTCATAAGTTAGACCACCATATTTCAATGTAAAACATTTTTCTTACTGGAAAGTACATATGGAGATCTATTCCAAGGCATACAATGTTAAAGTTTGGAGAGTCATAAAAAAGGGGAACTATCCCCTGCCAGCTGCTACTCCACCACTTGCTAATCCTGAAGATATAAACTCATATACAAAAGAGCAAATGGAAGTGGTAAAAGTTAACAATAAAGCGATAAACCTGCTTTATAATGCCATAACTGGTGAAGGGTATGAGAAAATCTCTAGTTGTGACACAACCAAAGAAATGTGGGACAAGCTTGAGGTTACATACGAAGGAACCAACAAAGTAAAGGAAACACATATCAACATGTTGGTTCATGATTACAAACTTTTTTCAATGAAAGAAGGAGAGTCTATTGAAGAGATGTTTGCCAGATTCAGCAAAATAATTAGCGATCTAAAAGTATTTGGCAAACCATATACAAGTGGTGATCTAGTCAGAAAAATTCTCAGAAGCCTGCCAACCACTTGGCAGACCAAAGTAGTCACACTTGAATCTCAGGATCTAAATAAGTTATCCTATGATGAACTACGAGGAGAACTCATAGCCTTTGAAAAGACACATCTCAAGAAGACTAGTCAAGAAGAAAAAAGGAAAACAGTCGCATTCAACGCCTCAACTGAAATAGCTGAAAATGAAATCGATGATGATCCTGAAGCTCTACAAGAAGAGATTTCTTTGTTTCAAGAAACATGGATGGATTAATGAGAAGATTTAGAAATACGAGAAAAGGAAGAATTCCACCTAGGCGATCCAGGAAATACAACAAACAGGACAAGAATGATGAAAAATGCTATGAGTGTGGAAGATTTGGACACATTCAAGCTGAATGCCCAGATCTAAAAAGAAAAATTTCCAGAGGCTTTAACAAGAACAAATCTTTTGGAAGTTGGAGCGATGAAAACAGTTCAGAACATGAAGAGATAGAAAATCTTTGCTTCATGATGATTCTGGAAAATGAGATGAACAAATCCTCGGGATGCTGGACGGAAGAGGAAACCTCAGATGACAAATGGAAAGATGACAATGAGAACTGTTTCATGGCACGAGGTGAAACAAGTGAGGTAAGATTTTATAATTGTGAAAGATACAGTGAATTCCAGGATATTCTTGATTTAACTTTGAAAGAGTCTCAAAAAATTATAAATGAGCTTAAGAGACTAAATAAAGAAGTCAAAGACTGAAAACTCAAACATGAAGTATGTGAAATTGAAAAAGAAGTACTTCAAGAAGAATTTGAGGAATTGCAAATGCAACTCAATGGAATGCACAAATCCACCAGTCACAATTCTGTCAGGTCAAAACAGGCGACTTATAAGTCAACTGGAAAAGGACCAGCCAAAACAATGTCCACTAGTACTAACACTAATGAAAGACCTAAATGTGGGTCAGGACTTACGTGTCACTATTGTAAGAAAAGTGGACATAAATATTTTTTTGTTGCTTTTGTAAAGCAAATGTTTCAGGATGGGTTTGGAAAACAAAAAAAAATTCTGAATCTAGTAATGTTAACCTTTCAGAACCCAAGCAAGCTTGGGTACCTAAAAGAAAGTAATCACTATGTTTTGCAGGAACACCACAGAATAAGCCACAAAGCAAAATGGTACTTAGACAGCGCATATTCCAGTCACATGACAGGTGATAAATACCTGTTCAAAGAAGTTACAAAAATTGATGGAGGAAACATTAAGTTTGGGGATGACTCAAAGGGAAAGATAATTGGTACTGGAACAATTCCTTTCAATAACAATTGTGACATTACTGAAGTTTATCTCGTCGATGGACTCAACTACAACCAATTGAGCATAAGTCAATTATGCGACTTAGGATATGAGCTAAATTTTGAGAAAACAGGCTGTGCTATTGAAGACGAGACAGATAAAACAATCCTCCCATGAAAAAGGTATGGAAATGTTTATATCCTTGATGGTTTTGAAAAGATAGATAGTCATATCTTCTTAACACCTATGTCTGATGATCCATGGTTATGGCATAGAAAACTTGGACATGCAAGCATACATTTGATAGAAATATTGTCCAAACATGAGTTAGTTATTGGTCTACCCAAACTGAATTTTTCTAGAACTAATATCTGTGATGCATGTCAAATAGGTAAGCAAACGAGAAACTCTTTCAAAAATAAAGATATTGTATCTACTTCTAAACCTTTGCAATTGCTTTATATGGACTTATTTGGGCCTACTAGAACTGCTAGTATAGGAGAAAAAAGATATGTTTTTGTTATTGTTGATGATTATTCAAGTTTTACTTTGGTAATTTTCTTATCTCATAAATATGAAGCATTAACAAATTTTGAGATTTTCTGCAAAAAGGTTGAAAGAGAAAAGGGATACCTGATTTCAACAATTCAGAGTGATCATGGAGGAGAATTTGAAAGTAGTGTTGATACCCAATTTTTTCCTATATTTTTTATATGCATAAATACCCTCAAAATAGTATATACATGCATATATAAGCAAGTACAAGGTTTTTATAATTTTTCCCATAATTTTAAGTATTTAAATTAATTTATTTCCTTCCCTTTTATTCATAAAATTTCCAATAATTATCCCTCAAATTATTGTTGTGGTAATTTAGTCATTTAATTTCTATATTTATGCCAAAATATGGTTAAAATATTTTTATGCATTTTTTATAATTGCATTTCATATTTTTAAAGATAAATTGCATATAATTAAAATATTAGCCCATTAATGTATAATTACATTTACATAAGTGAAATTGATCTCCTATATTTTTTAAATATTAAATATCTATTTTTAACCATTTTAGTGCCTGAAATTATTTTTTTAGAAATTGTTTATCATTTATTATAAATTATATAGGGAAAGTTGGCTATTTAAAATATAGCCAGATTTACATTTCAATTGTAGCCCAATTTAAACCCAATTTTAGATTAAAAACACCTGACCCAAGACCCGTCAAATCCTGGCCGTTGATCTAAAAGATCAACGGCCCTCATCCGTTCTTACCATTTTTAATTCCAACGACCCCCTAACCCTATCTCATTTCCCAAATCCGCAGCCTCTGTATTCTCTCATTTCCTCTCCTCTCTCAACCCCTCAACCTAACCCTAGCTCTTTCAACCGCCAACTCCCTTCTCCGGTCTTCTCCGGTAATCTCCCTTCAACTCCTAAGCCTCCAATGGCTCCTCTATTGCCATGCTCGCCTTCTCTGAGGCCTTCAAGGGCCCAGGGCCACGCTGACTTACATCTAGGGTTTGCCATCTGGTCTGTTCTTGGCTACTTCAGTATGATTCAAGCTAAATCATGATGTAATTGTTACGATCCTTGAGATTTTAGACAGGTTCTTTCATCTCTACTTGGGTTTCTTCTGAAACCCTAATTTTTGCTTACATCTCCTAGATCTGTATGATTTTTAGATGATTGAGTCTGTTTCCTTGATGTTTTACACTATCCTTGTAACCTTTTACAAGAATCATCGAGTTCAAAGTGTTTTCACCTTCTTCTAAAATTAGGGTTTTCGGAACTTCTTCTAAAATCTTATTTAAATCGATTATTTATGTTTAAACTTCTATCACTTGCATATTTTGACTGATTCTATGATTTTACTACCTCTTCAACTTGCCTATGTTGAAAACACTAATTCCTTAGTTCTAATCTTGGGTTTCTGAGTTTTGTTCTGATAACATGCTCAGTTAATCTATATGTTTCTGTGATTCTGTGATTTTATCCTGTGATTGCTTGTTAAGGTTCCTAATTATGGTTATCCCTGCCTATTGTGTGATTTTACCCTATTTTGTTCACCAATGTTTCTGATTATTCACTTCTCCTACCTATATTATGCTTATTCTACTGATTAAGAATATGCTCTACATGAACCTCTAATTTATATATGATTTTTGTCCTACTCGGCCTCTTAGTGTTCTGGTTTTTGCTTACTATAGCCTTGTTCTTATAAAGTTGTGTTAAATCAGTGCTATTTTCTACTATTGAATCCTTGAGTCTTTGTGATTGATCTTTCACTAATTTCGTATGATATCTCTACTGATTTTTAACCTTGTAAAATATTTTCTGACCTTATTCTACGGTCAATTATGCTATTAATAGATTTCTTAAGTCTTTTCCTTGATTGAAATATGCTGAACCTAGCCTCTACTACATGTTGTGTACTTGTACTATGCAAAAAATATCTCTTTATTTGTTATGCTCAGCCTTATATGATTTCCTTCCTTATTTGCCACATGTTTATTACCGTTTAAGTTGACTCCTCAATTAAAGGGAGTACTTACCTTGATTTCATAATTGATTGATTCTGAGTCCCCATACTTACTGATGAACTTTGATTTTTACCTTATTTGCTACCTGCTTTCAAACTATATATACAAACTCTATTATTAGCACAAACACACGAACACTTCGGTTCAAAAGCTCTCTCTCACACACTTAAACTTTCTGCTCTCTCTCTTTTGTGCTACTTACTACTATTCTGAGTTAGCCGGCTGCAAGCCAAGGCTAACTATTGTGCTCTACTCTTTCACTCTTGCTTACTGTGTTCTTTACTGGTATGTTCTAATTTTAGTTCAAGTTCCAAAAATAATATGGTTCTTCTATTGCTTCAATTAATCATGTTTCTAGTTTGCTTTTACTTATGATTTTGTTGTGAATCATACAGTTAATATTCTTGCATGATTAGCATGTTATGAACTCCCCTTCCTTAGAATCAGTATGAGAATGTTACCCCCTCCCCTCTAAGTAGTCTGCACTCCTAACTTGTATGGTTTTAGGATTGAATCATATGGATCCTATATACTGAATCCCCTTAAGAATTGCTGGTTCTGTGAGTATGTCTGATCAGTTGTGTCTGAGCATGTCTATACCAATTCCAAGACCTTTGCTTGTTATGTGTTTACAATCATGTGTTCTATGTATTCCCAAATCCCTTGACCTCTATTTGTGACTACTGAACTTGCTTTGGTTCTGTGACCCCTGACTGTGTATGAACCTGTCTTAAGGGTGTTGTGTTTGGATTGTTATATACTACTCCACTCTCTTTTCAAATTGTCTTTGTTGTTTTACTAAATTATTCTAAACAAACTTCCTTTTAATACAGTTTTCCCACTAAAACCTTTCAACTTGTGTCAAGCACTCTCACTATACTCCTAAGTCAATAAGTCATGTCCCCTCCAATATGTGTACTGCCTTGGGATCCTCTTGAGAACCCTCTGAACTCTGGCATACTGAGGTTGTCCCTTCCACACTGCACTTATTCAATTTAGGTTACCAAGTTTAGGTATAAGCACTATCCGAGATCCTTGAAATCCTTAGGGAATTTTGATGCATCTAGACTATGACATTGTCTATGGAATTTGGGCATTTGAGGCTATTAGAGGATTTGGAAACCTGGGCCTATCTGTAGGCTCCCTATAGAATAACTTCTTATTTTCTTATCTATTTATGTAATTTATTCATGTGGTCTGTAATAACTTGTAAACAAATATTGGGGTAATTAGTGAAAAGGGTGGGTAGCTATATGTTTGTGGGGTAATACGGGTAGAAACCATGCCTATAGGACTTTACAATTTGCTGTGTTTTCCTTTATAAATAGAAACCATACCTATAGGACTTTTTGTACCTTGTTATGTTAGAAATCATGCTTATAGGTCTCAATTGATTCCATAATAGAAATCATGTTTAATAGGTCTTAATTAGTTTCACAAGTAGATACCATGCCTATATGATATAATCCAAATTCAACTTCTGTTATAACACGTGTTTATGTGTATTTTCGTTTGTCATCATGCCTACAAGTTTTTACATCAGTATTAAACAAGTAGATATCATGCCTATAGGGAATAACACCAGAAATTCTGCATATAGATCTCGCCTAAGTGTAGTTTAAATAACTCAAACCGGTTAACGATTAGCTCACTTCTAAACTGATTTAGTTGAGTGATTTGTATTTCCTTGAAACGAGTTCTTTAAAACTACCTTAATCTATTATTAGACAGCATGCCTCTGGGGATTAAAGAGTCCATTTCAAAACCTGCCTTGTTTCACTATATAAAATGTAGTCATCAGTATTTTGCGTATAGGCAATCCTATAGGGCGTTTTCAAAACTTGCAATTCTGAAACTGTTTTTGTGACTTAATATTGCTCTGGTTTAAGCAAGCTTTAAAATTAGTAGGCCACTGATAGGATCATTACTTCTGAGTTTATAAAATAAACTACATGGTTTCTGTATATTCACTTAGACATCATGCCTTAGGATACTGTTTAACAAAATGCCCTTGCTTGTGTTTGAGTCGTGTTGTTCATGTGCCTTGTTTCAGGAGGAAACTTTGAGCCTCTAATTGCACCCTTTTGTTCTTATTTGCTAAGAGTCCTATGTGTTATTACTTGTCGCCTTAGCATTTTCACCTTTAAAACCTTAGGGGTCTGTCTAGAACCACCTATAGATAGAGGTCCTAAATCCCTCCAGGACCATTAAGGAGGGACGAGTAACAACACGCAATAGAGATCACTGACCAAACACTCCCCCCATTTCCCGAGATTTGTTTTTGTTTAAGACTTTATTTTATACAACTTGACCAAAAACTTCTGTCTTATTATTATTTGAGTCATACAAACATGCCTTATTTGTAATTATTTGTTTCAAGTACTTATATGGACTAATTAGTAAGTATAAGTTCGGCCGAGACCCACAGTTGTGGACCAAGAGGGGTGCCTAACACCTTCCCCTCGAGGTCATTTCAAGCCCTTACCCTAATCTTTGGTAATACAAACCAATCCAAGAGTTAATTACTCTAGGTGCTTTATCCGTTAGGTGGCGACTCTTCAAATACCCAATTCCCAAAAGGAAATGAGTTATCACACCCCATGGCATGTCGAAATCCGGAGCTCTCTCCGTGGAGGG